GTTACTGTCTCCTAGTCCCTACAAGTAAGGCTGATGTGTGGAAGAACTCTGTTACTGTCTCCTAGTCCCTACAAGTAAGGCTGATGTGTAGAACTCTTTGCTGTCTCCTTTCCCCTGCAAGTAAGGCTGATGTGTAGAACTCTGTTGTTGTCTCTTAGTACCTGCAAGTAAGGCTGGTGTGTAGAACTCTTTGCTGTCTCCTTTCCCCTGCAAGTAAGGCTGGTGTGTAGTGTGGAATTAAAAAATCAAGGGACGGTTAAAAGTTCAGATTTATTTATTAATATAATGTGTGAAACACAGTCTACAAAATGCCTTAAACTCATTACTGTCCTTCAAAATAGACAAATATGTGTTCAACAGGACTCTCCTATTTAAAAAAGATTCTAAGAATCACTCTTAACAAAAAATATTTAGCTTCTCTCCTGGTTAAAATACTAAGTGTCTCTCTTCCTTACAAAATGCCTTTACAAGCAATATTTAAACATACTCAGACGCGGTCATAATGACTGAGTTGAATTCATGATTAAAGGAAAAAATATCAAAGGAAAAAATGCCCTCGTTCACTCATATAATAAACCAAACATCACGACATGACACACTGTCCTGCAAATGCTTGTGCTTGTCCAACTCTTGGCTAACACGTGCAATTATTTCTTTCTTAAACCCCACCATGCCAGGAGCACCATCAATTGTTACGCTGTGTAGTTTAGCCCAGTCCAGCCCTAATCCTTCACAGTTTCGAGAGTTCTTTCCATTGATATATAAACTCATCTAGTTATTTATTTGATGCTTTCAGTGCATCAAGCTCTTTTGGGATTTCGATTCGAAATAATCATTTGTCCCACCAATAAAAAGTAAGTTGTGCAGAATCAAGAACATCATTGCATTGTTGAATGCCAATGAAAGAGAGCAAAACAACTTTTGAAAAATATTGTTTTTGCAAAAGCTGATGCAAATTGTCCCCCATTTCTTCAATTGTTTGTGCAATTCTAGGTCATGAAATGCTCACTGAACAAAATACAAATATATGTATTTAAACCTAGGGACTCAAACTCAAATCATCCGGGGGCCGCAGGAGGTAGAGTCTGAGTGAGACGGGGCCACATCAAGTTAAAAAAATCGATTACAAATTCAATAAACTAGAACGGGTACTATCTGCTCAACCTTCATTAATAATAAAATAAAAAAAATAAGGGTTCTCAAGAACTAGACTTTACTTTCTTCCTCCTACTCCTTCTTGCCAGAGACCTGGCAGCGCTTCTTCTTACGCAACATTTGGCTTGAGTGAGAAAGCAACTGAGACCCTCATTATAGCTTGAAGATGCTCATCAATAAGTTTGGCCCTGAACTTTGACTTATTAAATTTCCTTGTGGGAAAAGAGCTTTTCACACAGATAAGTGCTCCCAAAAAGGCGCATGATCCCCTTGAGCAACCTGTAAACCTCAGTGAAGGTAGAGGGCAATGCTCTCATAAATTGTTCATACTTGTCTCTTTCTCCATTCACTCCCTGAACTTAGAATGGGTGGGGGTGGGGCACATATTCCACTATAAAGGATCAGGAGAAAGTTGAAAAGTGGCTATTTTGTAAAGTCTAAAAACATGTGATCAAATTCTTCCTGTAGCTTTGCAATGCCATCAATATACTCACTACTGAATGGTGTTGCCGAATCCATGAGTACATTTCATGTTGAGAAATGGCAGAGGTTTCTCTAAGAACTATAACACAAGTTTTGTGCCGAATGCCCTGACATGTTCATAGGCAACACTGACAAGTCTTGTAGCTTCTTGTTGAGTACATTCAGCTCTTGTGTAATGTCAACAAGAAAAACCAAGTCCATGAGCCATTTGGGATCACTTAGTACAAGATAAACCACCCCATCCTTCTCCAAGAAGGGTTTGAAGGCTAAAACATGTTCAAACAGTAAGCAGGAGCAGGCAGTATATATTAGTTATTGATGCGAAGGAAGATGCTACTGTAGGTAGAATGAATTTTGATTTTTTTTTTATCGTAGAAACGGACTTTTTTACTAACCCTATTTTGAAATGGAACCAAGCTGACATGCTTGGAATTTCCCTAACTCGTTAACAGTAGCGGCAATTTTAATAGGGATTCTTTGATACTGTGTCAGATTGCTACGATTGACACAATCATGGTTGTGCATAACCTTTTTTTCCCGCTCCATCCCACTTCTCCTGTCCAGATTTAGCCATAAATTCTCACGACTGTCATTGTAACTACATTCCGATTCTCCTACTGCTGGGCGTCCTGTAACTTGATCTCAGGCCATTCTTCGGACCTCACACTGATTCTCTCAGTGATGAAATATTTATAGTTGTTTTTTCTTTTTGTTTTTAATGATGTAAAAAATGTCTGTCATTCAGTGTTGTGAAGTGAAATTCTTTACTACAACATTCTGCTTTTCACATGGCTTGAGGCTCCCCCCTCCCCTGGTCACACATCAGCAAAAAAAATCTGACCCCCTCCCCCCCCCCTTAGACGCGTGACGTCATTTATGGTGGCCCCTATAGACTAATAGGCTTATAGAATTATAGACTTATAGGCTTATAGACTTATTGGCTTTTAGACTATAGGCTTATAGACTTATAGGCTTATAGACTTATAGACTTATAGACTTATAGACTTATAGGCTTATAGACTTATAGGCTTATATAAATATAGACTTATAGGCTTATAGACTTATAGACTTATAGACTTTTAGGCTTATAGTCTTATAGGCTTATAGGCTTCTAGACTAATAGACTTATAGGCTTATAGACTTAAAGGCTTATAGACTTATAGGTTTAGGCTATAAACTTATAGACTTTTAGGCTTATAGACTTATAGGCTTATAGACTTACAACTTATAGGCTAATAGACTTAAAGTACCTGGGTGTTACCATTCAAAGAGAGGCCCGCTGGGACGAGCATATTAACAATGTATGTAACCAAGCAAACGAGACCCTAGGGTTCTTAAGGCGAAATCTAAAGATTGGCACCTCCTGTGTGAAAGAAAGAGCATATAAAGCCTTTGTCCGTCCGGTTTTAGATTATGCATCTACAGTCTGGGACCCATTTACCCAGAAGAGCGTTGACAGGTTGGAGGCGGTCCAGCGACGAGCAGTACGCTTTGTCCTAAACCGCTACAGGAATACCTCTAGTGTTGGCAGCATGCTAGAAACACTAGGATGGTCACCATTGGAGGAACGACGACGACAATCCAGGCTCTCCATGATGTACAAGATAAATAATGGACTGGTCCACTGTTCCAGTATTAAACAGAAACTCGTCCCTCTCCCCCATAGACAGCGATGAGGCCATGACAGGCAATTCAGCCTCATACCAGCAAGAAGCCGGTATAGGAGCTGCTCATTCCTGCCCAAGACAATCAGGGACTGGAACAAGCTTTCAAAAGGAACAATTGAGGCGACAACACTAGACACATTTGTGTCTATTGCCTCAAGCATTCAAACCCCTAGTGCATGATTCCCTTACAAAGCGGCATTGGAAATCTGTGAAATTTTCTCATCAACACCAGGAACAGAAACATTGCAAATCCCATCTACATGCATAGGAGCCAAAATGATCAATAAATTGATCGTGGACCCTTAAGATATAGAAGAAGAAGGCTTATAGACTTATTTATTGATTATTGTTAGCGGGTATTATTATAGATTTTCTTTCTATTCGGATTTTCATCTTGTGGATGGGGCTTATTAACATTTGTTTACACACGTGACATTTTAAGATGTATTGTTATGTGCCCCCCCCCCTTTTTTTTTTCGGTGAATGTCTAGTCAAGGACTAAAATTATCATGATGGACCCCTTTATGGACCGCAGTTCCTACGTAAGGACACATGCCATATTTACAGTAAAACATGTCATAGGTCATAGACTCAAGATGTGATGTCTCTGTTTAGTAGGCCTATCCATTGCCATATCCACATGGTGAATGGCCGTAACGTGTAAGCTTCCCATCTTTGCCCATGTAAGGAGTCTGCTAACTTCCATACCGAAGAAAATTGTTTCATTTCATGACGCAAGAAGACTCACCCTCATCACTATCGAGGTTTACAATCTAAAAGGGAGGGGGGGGGGGTGGCCTTGGAGATCCTACATGCATGTAACAAACACACACACAAAAGCCAGGATTCATTTTTTTAAATGTGCTAATTTTTAAGCAAAAAATACGTTTTAATGATCTATGCTAATTTCGTAAATCTGAAAAGCAGAAATTTTGCAAAAATAAGAATTCTTTTTTTAAATAAAGANAAACCCCCCCCCTTTAAAAAAATGATGTTTGTCCTTGGCATGCGAAGACTAGCAACACTGAGTGAGTAGGCAGGTGGCACTGCCAGTCCTATTTGTGTCTGGATAGCTTTCCCACACAAGGGACACACGTTGTGTTGGGTTCCAACTAAGATTTGAGTCAATTCTGCTTTTCCTTGCAGTGCGCTTTGGGCGTGAACGGTGAACTTATACTCCAAGGAGTGTGTTCCGACATTGAACCAGCTTGCACGGCCCATTGCATGTGTTTCCCACAAAACAAGGTCAATTTCCACACACTATAACAAATAATAAACCACCTCCGTAGCTTTATATGTGTGCACGGTATCCTGCGTAACTGTGATGTAGGCCTTCAATCTTGAGCTATTAATCTTTCTATTCATAAATAGATAAACTGCAAAATCACCACAATATCAGCATTGTATAATTAGGCCAGAGTGAATAAGATCCTTATATTTTAGGCATCAGATCGTAAAGGCAGCTAAAGTGCATCTGATTTTGATGATGAAAGGAAATTAACCTATGAGCATTGGTTTGAAACATACAATATCCCTAGAATAAAACATATTCTATTTTGGTGGCACAATGAAAAATGAGCGAAAATTTGTCTGAAAGAAATTTGGTCGACGGAAAATTTCCGTTCGACCAAACCTCCGGGTACAGAGTAATTCATTATTAAATACGCACCTTTAAAATACAACTTTAACTTACGGAGCCACCTCGCAATCACCAAATAAAAACTTACGAACTGAGTGAGACCTGGAACAAACAATAATGTTTTTTGGTTTGAGCTAATGATACTAAGTAATGGTATTACAGTAATGGGCCTTAGCTCCAAGCTCTTTTTAAGTTTATAATTTGGGCTTTCTGGTACATGCATCTTAGCCATAATTTGTTTTGCGACTTCGATTTCAAAGATACTACCACGAGAACAATACATAAATAATAGTAATACAGTGACAGTAATTTCAGTAACAGTAAAATCATGTCAGACAGTGAGACCAGGGTGCATTTTCGAGTTATTAGATATATTCATGAAGCTAGTAAGTATTTGGGGTAGTTTATTTCAGTTAAAATAATTTTACTAACATATAGTTCATTCAGTTATCTTTCATTTGATACCAAATTTGGTCTTCCCACTCTTGAAACCCAGATCTGAATAGCCCCAGCCTTAAAAATTATTACTATTATTACTTTAGTCAGGCAAATATATATATATAGTTGTTTGTATGAGCCTTTTTCAGCAAAACGGTAACTATCCACCAATAATGTTGACTTATGGTGTGGAGATATTGATGCTCATCAGCCATAACCAGCTAATTTAGAGTTTAGATCTGTGATTTTCCAAATTTCCATCAAGATTTCACAGCAGTGAAGGATGCCAAAAGTACTGCCATCTCCCATACAAGTTTTACCCTTCTGTGGCAATTGTGGGAAGGGTTCTCTGCTGCCTCATGACTTCAGAGGCTAAAACTCCTTGCATTAAATGAGTGAGAGAGGTGACTAACAAGCACTTGATTAGGAAAAGTTGTGTGCAGTTAGTCCCAGGCTGCAATTTTTTCTATTTATAATGAGATGGGGCATTCACTATCAGCTTCAAAATATTTGCTCCACCTGGGTGACACTAACCATATCTTACAAGTTGCTATATCTAGAGAAGAATCGTTAACCTTGGACTGCAACTCATCTAAGAGAAGGCAAACTCTGAAATAAAACCTGAAGATGGAGTCCCATAGGAGGTATGACATTGACACAATGAAAATTCTGAAGAGACGTGGATCGCATAAAGAACACAGTGAGACAAAAGAAATAGTGCGGTCATCTACTGTATCTTGGTCTATTTCCAGTGGTCTTGACAAAATATTGCCATTGGAACAACTAGGCAAGTAAAAGAGAGTGAGGCGGATGAACTGAGCAACTGTCCCTCACTTTCAGCAAAATATAGCTCAAATCAAGCGTACTACTCAAGTCAAAGCCTCAGTCATCTTTGCATGCAAATAATGAACAATACAACTTCATCTATCATCCATGCTTGAATGAAAAACTTAGACTTAGCACAGCTGAAGCAGCATTTCATTAGCCTTTGTGTGGAGGTACACTTCCTGGTAAGTCTGGATACACAGACAGCTAGGCATCCTGGGGGGAGCAAGGATAATAAGTTGACAAAATGCTTGGGTGCAATGATGCGGCTTTGCTTAACTCTGCTGCTAACTGGGAAGGTGTGTGAGATGGCATCAGCAGTTAAGGAAGGAAGCCAATTTTTGCAGGACCAGGAAAGTCCACTCCATCTAACCAAGTCAAATGTCCTCATCATTGTTGCAAAAAAGGCAACAGCTGTTCACAGCGGTCAACACTTGCCCTTGCTCTTGTGTTGTTGTTTTTGAACTATTAATGAACTAAATAAAAACGCAACAACAAATTATTTTAGTATTGGAAAAAGGTTTGTAAACTACTAAGCATGACCATGCCCACAGCTTGGTGTTTATAAATGTAATTAGAAGTTTCGCAATACCCATAGAAGTATTGCTACTAGTATGTCGTAGGAAATAGCTTTTTGGGTGTCGGTTAGATTAAGGAAAAAAGGTATGTTGTAGCTTGAAATGTAAAAAACTACAAGTATGTAGCAGTACTACTAATTTAAGTAGTGTGACTTTCAGTCATTTTTATATATTATATATTATCGTTGATAGTTTGAATTTAATAAAGGCTAAACTAAATTTACAAGGTTTCCATATTAAAGTTACTCCACTGGCCCTAATAGAAGAAATCTCTTTTGAAATTTGTTATGGATCAGGTTGTTAAATTTATCCTCTCAAATTAATAAGCATTAAATACAAGTAATCAAGCTTTGATGGTATCTTAATTGCAATATTTCAATTATTTAGTAGTTTCTGTTAAAAGCATCTATTGATATTGTATATTGAAGTTCATCCCAAAAAAATTTCTTGTATTATTACAGGTATTAAACTTCATCTACAAAGCATTCCTATTGCAACAGCCTCAACAATTTATCATAAATTCTTTCGAGAAAATAAGTTGAAAGATTATGATCCATTTGTAAGTAACTTAAATTAAAAAAACTCAAAGAAATGATTATTGTGGAGGACACAGTTTATTTAGGGGTCTTCAGTTTAAAAGCAAAAATATGGCCATAAAGATTCTATCTTTTGAGAGATGTAAATTTTAATCAATTTGAAGATTATTATTTTTTTCAGAATGTCTTACATTATTTAATTTTTGTTTGTAGTTATCTTTTCACTTTTCACTATCACAGGTTTTTTCCTTTTTCATCATTGTTGGTTCCAAGATATGTCACTTGTCATCGGTGTATACATACAGCACAATTTTACATGAGAACCAATATTTTCTATAAAAAATGGTTACTTTTTTAATAATTTAGGCTTTCGTATATCAAGTTTATCATTCTTTACTTAGTATCATTATTAATTACCTTCATTGACAGCTTATTGGTGCGACATGCCTCTCACTGGCATGTAAGATAGAAGAAGAAAATGTCAGAATGAGGGATATAGTCAATGTTTGTTACAGGTGAGCTATGTAAAATGAACTGATTTGTATTTTATCTTTTGTTTAAAATGGCATGCATTTCTTTGAATTTGATAGCCTTATAATGGTAATTAAATCAAATGTAGATTAAATACAAAATATTTAGATCTCCAAAATTGATACATTCCAGTTTGGGATGGTATGGTTGTTATTTTGATCAATGAGCTTTTTCAACATTGTAGTTTCATTACCCATGAGTAATTAAAAAGATTAGACTGCAATATCTCTCGAATTGTGAAGCACATAATATGTGAAAGCTTGGGAAAAAAAGACATCTGCTTCATCAAATCTAAAAGGACTACTAAAAAAGTAAATTTGATAAAAACCTTAGCTAATATAAATATGGAATACTTTGGCATAAATTTCAAGAACTTAAAATAATTCAAGAATTATGGGTTCGGAAAATAGAAACTATACTTTGAAAAAGATCAAAAGACTTCTTTTTTCTGTCGTTAATGTGTGTCAGAATTATGTTGTTTTTTTCTTCTTATAATTGTATGTATTATTTATTTTTTAACTTTACTTACAACACAGAACTCTTCATAAAAACAAAGCTCCATTGGAAATAGGCGACACATTCTGGGCTCTGAGGGAAAGTGTAGCTAGTTGTGAACTTTTTCTGTTAAGAGCTTTGCAATTTAAGGTTGTCTTTGATCATCCCCACAAGGTATATTTTTTGCCAAGTAATATAGTATAGGCTTTTCTCATGAATAAAACTTAAGACAAAAAATATTTTCCATACATCGTTGATAGTTGCCTGGTTTGTTGAACAGATGTCATAATTTAAAAAATTATGTTTTTGACTTATTGTGATTTTGAAGGAAAAAAAGTAATATGCGTCTTCAAAACAAGTTTATGGTTATCAGTTATTAATACTAATTTTATCTAATCAAATAAATATTGTTGTTTTTTCTTCAGTATCTGTGTCACTACTTAAAAGCCATATCAGACTGGATGGAACCTAGGCAATGGGAAGAAATTCCCATACCTAGAACATCATGGGCGTTTCTAAGAGACAGCTACCACAATGGCTTGTGTCTAGACTTTCAACCTGAACATATTGCTGTCTCAGTTTTGTACTTGGCCTTGCAGTGTCACGGACTGGAGATTCCATTTTACAAATATGCAAGGAAAAAGTGGTGGCAGGTTGGTGCAGTTCACTGTTGTGTCATATTTAATTATTGTGAAGAAGAAAGTAATTCAACAAGTTCTTTTTGAAAATTCACATAAAGTAGTTTGTTTATTAAATGTATTTTGACACTTGTTTGATCACAGCACATATTATTTAATTTCTGTTAAGTTTCAACTTTCATTAGTTTATTTTTATATTTAATCGCTTTAAAAAAATTATTTAGTTTTTAATTTAAGCAGGGACATATGATCAACACCTTCATTAGCATGGAATCTTAATATACTGAGAAGATAATAGTGTTAAATTTTTATGTTGTGGATTTAAAATCATAAAAATTTTATAATCTTTCAAAATCTGTTTTATCTTTGCAGGTATTCAGTAAAGATATAACTTTAGAAATAATCCAAACAATTGTCACTAAAATTCTGGACATGTATGACATAGAAAATCTACTGGCAAGATAATATGAGTTGAAAATGTCTGACCATTGAAAACAGAAGATTGGAAAATAAAATAAGTCACTTTGGAAATGTAATTTTTGTAAAATAAGTAGTAGTCAAGTCTGCAACCAACTTTTCAAAAATAATTTAACTTCTTTCCTGGCGTGCTCAAATCTCTTTAGGTCAATAAACTTTGATTCTGTACCAATTGACTTGGTTCTAATCCACTGGAATAAACATCCAAAGATACAATAACATTTGGTAAAAGCTGTGACAAAGTCATAAATCCATTGAACAATTAAGTTACGAATTTTAACTTATTGCAATTTTTTGATGACTAAAATGTTTCATTTATATTTTTTTTAAATAAAATTTTTGATTTGTACATTTTTGTTTTATTAGAAGTAAGAATCTAAATTCTGATTTGTATGTGCATCACTAACTCTTTGGAGTTCAGTATTTCCACAAATGTATTTTAATTACTTCAGTGCTGGTAGTAGTTTCATCTCACATTCATTTGACCTAATTACAGTAGGTAGCTCTTTATTTTTGTGTGGTCTAAAAAATGACATATTCATTTATGCCCTAAGTTTTTTTGGGTGTCTGTCTGTACCCTATTTATGTTCTAAATTAAACATTTTAAATTCATTTAGTATTATTCTTTCTTTGCTTTTTTTATTTGGGTTCTTTTTGTTTTTTTAATGATTAATTGCCATCACATGAAAGCAAAATCAAAAATAATAAATTTATAATTGTCATTTAACCATTATAATGTTTGGTGATATCCTCCTGAGTAGGAAGATCTCAAGTCAGAGGCAATACAGAGTCATTTCCCTAAATTAATAAGCTCAATAGGAAACATTGCCTATGTAATTAAGTTCATTTAAATCCTTGATTGTTGATAATTTTAAAAAATCATTCCCAAAAACCCTATGTAAATAAAGAAGTAGCTTTTATTGGAGGCATAATCAAATTTAAAATAAATAACAAATAAAATACATGTTATTTCACTTTTTTTATTGTGTTTGGAGTGTCCATGGCATAATACTATTTAAAGTTGAACACAAATGATGAACAAAAAATGAAAGTTTTGGAATATAAGGAGCACTGATGATGTGGACACATTTGTTGATGCCATCAACACATAAAATTTTTTGTTTTATTTAAAGATTTTAATAAAAGCACAAGCTTGCAGTAAATGTCTTACTGCTCAGAAGAATAAGGCCTGTACAATTGATCATGCATACTTTTTTTTTTTTTTTGTTGTTGAAAAACCACACAGCCTCGATCCATTTGTCTATTACATTTTAAAGATTTTAATAAAAGCACAAGCTTGCAGTAAATGTCTTACTGCTCAGAAGAATAAGGCCTGTACAATTGATCATGCATACTTTTTTTTTTTTTGGTTGTTGAAAACCCACACAGCCTCGATCCATTTGTCTATTACATTTCCTCCATTAAGCACTGTTATTGTAATATCAAATGACATACACATTGGTACAATATAAGGCTTTGAAATATAGACATTATTATGCCAACAAATATATGGTATTATTATTAAATGTAATATAGTTGACACAAAAAGATATTTTTTACCCTTATAAATATTCTAAAATAAAATCATGGCACTCTTGTTAAAAAATGTCTTTTCATGTCAAGAAATTTACAAATGTGTACAATATAAATATGGTCAAATGAAAATGGGGGAGAAATGGTAAAAATGATGTTGAAGATCAAATTATACAACAGAATTAAAATAATAACCTATTCTGTAGAATTATGATGTAATGGAATAGTGAAGAAATAAAGGTTATTTTACATCGTGTTAGGGTTAACTATACAAGTAATTAGGACTATTAAATAGATTTCAGGACTAAAAAAAGTCCTCCATCTCCAGTATTATTTTATAGTCCACTTTAAAATCCAGATGAATGAAGGAATGTCAGGTTCATTTTCAGTAAGAAGAAAAGTTTAGTACAGACCAAGAAGAATTGATGGCTGGACTCTCTCTCTATATATATAGATCAAATAGGCACTATGGTTGATGCTAGTAATAGGCATTCCCAAATGTACTGATTCTCAAAGTGGAGCTCTGGTTAACATAGTTGAGTTTCATATATTTTTTTGGCAGTAATAGGTTTCCTAAGTAAAGTATATTAAATTGATTGTGCTTTATATTTTTTTCATTCAATTCATAAAAATGATACCGCTCTTTAAATATTGCAGTGAATTCTTTAGCTTTAGTTTAACTTAGTCTCTAAGAAGGGAATTTGATCAAACTGTACAAAAGCTTACATAATCTGTAAAGGCACAATCTAATGGCTACATTAAAAATAGGTATGCTGGCAAAACTGTAGGGATCAGGGATCAACACTAACTTGAATTTCCTTTTAGAGTATTTTTTACAACAAAAAGATTTTTATTAAATCAACTAATACTGAAATCAGCAATATGTGACACAATTTTAACAGTAAAATAGAACATGGTAGTAGAGTGTCTCATATTTGGCGGCTGTCTGTAAAAAAAAAAAAAGAATATCTCAGTGCTTCTCAAAGTTGTGGTTATCTGACCAGAGAAATCCGTCTCTGTGACAAATTAGAATATTACAACAAAAAATAGATATGGGCATGTGTCCCTGTAATGATGTGGGATAATTTCCTGCTAGGAAGCACTGAAAAAACAGATTTTAGATTAGGATAAAGAAAGTTTCTGTTGGTTAAATTTGATCCAAATGAAACATGATTTTTCAAGTGTTCAGTGGCACTTGCTTTAAATCAAAACTATGCAAAACACAAATGTAGTAATAAATAAATACTCTTTGGACTAATAACTGTTTTACAAACATATATTATGATCCATTGATAAGCTAGAAATTATTATGTTCAATTCATCACAAGCTTGTACTTAGAGTCTGTAATATTACAAAAAATCCATGAAATGAATGAATTCAAATATTCTCATCCACAAATAGTATTATTATGATCAGATTGAAACTAAAGTATTGTTTAAAGTGCCAAGTCACAAGTGATATGGATGAACAAGTAGAGGCAAATTAGTTTTTCTATTTCCATTTCGTACTCATTTAAAAAACAAATGATATCCAGTATGTGACAAAATTAGGAAATACATTTATGAAATAGTGAACACTGTTTTGTCTGTGTTTTTATTTTTTCCAGCTCTCAGAGAGGCATTAGCTCCAACCAAAACATTCACTCAGAACCATACTGCTCCTTTAGGTAAATTTTCACATGTTGCTAAATCTTATTTGTCATTGAGCGGTACAAGAAATCTTACAATTTCAATCCAAAAATCCTGATTTTTAAATATTTAATTGAAGCGTTTTTGGCACACCTCATCTCTGTGATCTGATAATTATCCAGTGATTCTTCTGTGTATTAAAGGCCAGTTGGTAGACTTGGCATTTTTTAAAATAAAAATACAATTAATCCAGTGAAGGTACCTTAAATTAACTAGACAAATTCGGCATGAAAAATTGGCGTTACATTATTATGCTGAAGTGATTTTGCTGTCATTTTAACTTTTATTTGCTGTAAGAAAATTTGTGAATCATTTCACTAATGAAATTTATTTTTCAACAGAAATTTTTTAATATTAAAATAATATCTTTGTGTGCAAGTGTTAACTAATTTTGCTAAAATGTTTCGCCTCCCATGATTATTATGCCTTAATACTGCATAAAACCATTATTAAATCAAACCGACCCGTAGACATTGAGGCCATAATGTGTAATAAATTTACATTACAACAAAGTAGGGTTATCACATTATTCTCTAATAAAAGTTCCAAGATTTATTTCACTGTAGCAATACATGTCACTTGCCTTATATATTTCTAAGCAGTAGAAACATGTCATGAGGGTCAGCTTATTTTTTAAAATATATTTTGTTTAAAAAGACTTAAAGTTTAGCCTAAAATTATTTTAATTTTTCCAAGATATAACGTTAAGCTTATTGATTTAAAATTAACTATCATAAAAGTCCTATAAATGTATGGTATCAGTAGTTCTGCCATAGGGTATTATGGGTATAACAGCAGACTTTGTAACAAGAAAGTTGTTCAAAACAGTTTTACATTGACATTATTTACATACAAGTTGATATATAATATATTAATATTAAGAGAAATCATTACTCAATCAACAAGAAATGTACAGCAAACCAAACAGTCAGTCAGTTGTAAAAGACTTTCAAAAAAAGGGATAAAATGAACAGAAAAAACACCACTTATGTATGTGGACAATTTTTTTCCACATTATAAAAGATTTTCTAATTAAGAAATAGGAAATTCCCAGTTCCTCTCTGAAACAGTGTCCATAAAAACAAGCAGTTCATGAAAATACTCTCTCTCCCCTTCAATATCTAAATTGGCAATAGCTGACCTGCTACTATCCACATAGCTGAATTTAGCTAGGATACCACAAAAAGTAACAACTATTTAAAAAATGAGTGCAGCTTTTAAAAATGAGTGTTGTTTTCATTTAAAATTGTAGTAATGTTTGATGGTAATGTTTCCCTGAAAAAAAGCCATTTGTAAGTCAAAGATGTACAATTTTTTTATTTTTTAATATTATTATTTCAAGATACAAAATATTAAACAAAGATTAGCACAGTTATTTAAGGCAACAGTTAACTGATAAAACCTTGAAGATTATCTTTGAAAAGACGAACAAAACAACAAAATTGTGAAAACCTTAGTTTCACAGCCACAAGATTTAATATGGAAATAGTTTTTCAAGTAAAATCTATACACATGAGGGTACGAACAGTAATTTGTAATGATTTTATCATATGATGTTTAAAACTAGAATTAAACCATATTAGGGATGCATTTAAGAACTAAGCATATCTTGTATGATATTTGCTATAAAATATTTGACAAAAATTAAATTTCAAAGGAAAACCAAAGATATTTACAATAATTAAAGCATTGTTAAATCTTGAGGTAGACAGCTGTTGATGATACACACTTCTAACTTCATAGCTATTTAGTTATGCTCCTTAACAACTGTCACATTTTGTTTTTATTCAAAAGCAAATTACCCATTGAAATGACGTCTCAGAACAAGATAAGGCATACATGTCTTTCATCTGTAATTTATAGCTGTATACCAATATTTATTTAAAGCAAGGAGGAGGTTTCCAAAGAACAGAAAATTTTGAGCTTTCGTTTATCGTAAATGAGGGAACATCTAAGTTTTATTTTCAAAGTGCAAGGGAGTTAAAACAATTCTGAAGCTCTTGTAAAATATAAACAAAAGCAATGAGTGCAAAATAATGGGGGGAGAGGGGGGAGAGAGAGAGAGAGAGAGAGAGAGAAAGAAATTAATGGGAAAGCTGACATGTATGTTTTAAATATTCTTTCAAATACACTTAAACATCAAGTGGTTTCAAAACAAGGAGAGGATGCCATAATGCCCCTTGATTTGTTAGCCAGCCATCTAGTTCAATCATTTACATTTATAGGAGAAGTCCTTTTATTTGGTTCCTTCATTTAAACAGTCAAAGTTATTTAAAAAAATAGCCGAATGGTTATGAGATCACACAATACAACAAAAATAATCAGTGTCTGATAAAAAAAAACAAGGCAAGAGTAATATTGTTCAGCATATTCTGTGTGAATGCTGCCAAACTGAAATTTTGAAACAAGACAATTTATGACTTATGATATTCTATCAAGCATGTAAATTTGAGCAAAAGAATACCATCCCTTTTAAAAAAATACAAATGACATAAATGGGCTATCTGAGCACCTGCTAAAGTGAAAACGAATAAAACTATTTTAATATTGAGGTAAATATGAACCAGATAGAAGGTTTCTCATGATTTTCATCTCTCAAGAAGATTTCTCTACAACCTCTGACATGTGCAGTTTTTAAGCAATCGGAAATTGCTGCAAGATATTTAATTGTATGCATTTATTTTTTTTAAAGCTACACAAAATAAAACTACAACTAAATATGTTATTAAAAACAAAAAAACACTCTGCAGGATGAAATTTTTAGAGTATTTTAAAAATATTTTTTTTAATATGTGAAATGATTTTTATATAAGATACAATGTAATTCATTTAATTGTGAATAGCTTTGTATTTGCCTAATCAGACAGCTGTAAGATAATTATACTATTTATTAGATTCGTTTTTACATTTAAAATATGTTTGATATAAAATAATATGTAGGCAACTTATAACTCTCTAATCCTGAGAAAAATTAAAATTGTTCAACATTCAATGTTGTACCAAGTATTAGT